CATACATCCATACGTTTGTGTGATGATCGACGACATCACATGTTTTTTCCCCCTGAGCATAATTCATATAGCGGCAACCACATTTTTCCACTCGCCATCATCATCATCATCATCATTGCGACAGTGAATCTAGTGAAGCGTAAACCATGCAGGCCAAATCATTTTCATTGGCGCACCAACGGCGAAGCCGCAGCATTTTTCACTCCGTGACATTCGATTCATTCGGCCAAATCAATCGACCCAACATCAAAGACTCCAAACACCAAATCGAGATCAAATGAGTTGTCAAATAAAACACCAACACCTTTCAAATCACACAATCCAGACGCTTCAAATGTGAGAATATCCGATAGTCAAATGCACTGTTCCATCCGAAATAAATAAAATGAAACGAGAAAACAAAAACAAAGAAATTCACTTTTCACTAAACGTTTTCATCACGTTTGATTGACTCGCAAACCTAACACACAATATCCATCGATTAAAAGTAAAATCACAAGCAAAACAAAACACATACACAGAAAAAAAAACATTATGAACATGACTCGGATGGAAAGTGTTAGGATCGAACAAAAATGTTAAATCATAAACTGAACAAATGGATTTTCCACCTGATATCTTATGCAAACAAATCGCTCGAATGTGTAATTTTCGCAGGCATAAATACATCGCAGCACGTGTGGAATGAAGATTGGCTTTGAGATTAAATGCGTCAAAATACAAAATGTGCAGGCTGCATTTATGCGCTCATATTCTGCCTATAATCACCGACTGCTGCTGCTGCTGCTGCTTAGGGGACTTTGCTATTATTATTTTATTTTCGTTGATAAGCTTTGAGGCGCAGTGGCCAGCTGTTTCGACACCGTTGAAGTGTTTAGTTATTATTATTGTTTTTTTTTTTTTTTTTTTGAGCGAAAGTGTGATATGAGGTTTATGCGTTGCATTTCCAGCCACTTTTACTACAACATTATGATTGAAATGTATGCATTTTGACAAAAATTTGTTGCTACTGCTGTTGCTATTGCTGTTGTTGTTGGCGATTTTGAATTCATTTTCTTTCCGCGACCGCATACAATAATTTCTCGGCAAAATTTTAATCAATGTTATTAATTCGTAAAAGCTTGAATCTGTTTCCGAATATACTACGAGCACACCATTTTTGTATTATGACCGGGTGAACGAACGCATCGTGTGTGTGTATGTGTTTGAAATTTATATCCGTTTATGTTCTGAGCCATAAAATAATTGCAATAGTAAAATTGGTTCGGTTTCAATTTGCATAAAATTATGGTCATGGTGTTTTTTGTTTTGTTCAACAAAACATAGATAATTGATTGGTTTTTTAGGGCGATGCAGGTTTGATGCCATTGAAATCCTTCCGATGGTTTTTATGAACCCAATTTAGGTTTGTACTTGGATCATGATCATCAACAAAACAATTGATATCTTAAAAATCGCGCGAAGCACTGGCTTTATCAAGTTTAGATAATGCATCAGATTGACATGGGTAAAAAGTCTCTTTGTAATACTGGAAATAAGAATTAGACTTGAATTAGTCTTTATTTATTTTAGTTGTATATGAATCATATTTATGAACATCAAACAAACATTATTTTCTTCAAAAGTTTTTCGAGAGTCAATGGCCAATGGCAAAGAATGATAATTTTTGCGCCAATAGATTCAACGATCTGACGGAAAGTCCATTTATTTCTGTTGCAACGGAAATTTCGTTTTTGGCGGCACGTGCGAAACGCAAAGAAATTGCGATTTTCCACGTATTAATTTCTAACTAAATTGAATTTATTATTATGTTTGACTGTGTGGTGATTAAGTTATGTTTGGTGCTCAACGGCTCATTCAATCTGTTGCGCCCTTTGATTTTTGTCAAATCGCTTGAATTTAACCAAGCGTTAAGCAGTTTCATAACATTTAATTTAATTGGCTATCGATCATACTCTTCGACGTACCATCAACAACAAACTGATTCGATGTTTTACAAAAACATTCAATTTTATGAAGTGCTAATGCCAATGCAATGAACCATTTTGCAAAAGCCCCCAATATACGCTAAATACAAATGCTTTGAAGAAATTCAAACGGAAGTGGCCAGAGCATTGAATCTGCTGGCTGTGTAGCCGCTGCTTTAAGTCTATTACTCCGGAACAAATCCGCAAATTGAAATTTCAGTTCAGCTAGAATAAATGAAGAAAACGTGTTCAATCAAAATGAAGAAAACTTGAACAAATGAACTTGAAAGCTCAGAACTAAATCATTTTTATTGGAACCGAATCGAGTAAACTCAACAAAAAATTTGCATTGAACATTTTAAAACGAAGAACTATTTTGGTTTTAACATCAACGGTTGAATTGTATCGATGATATCTACAATGGGATTGAATTTGATTGATGGTAATGTTGAGAATATTTTCCCGTATGATTTCCTTCGGCAGCGTCTTCAAGATTTATCCACGGTGTTGCAGTAGTATTTCTGTTGGTATTATCAATTGTACTGTTCCTATTATAGTTGGTTATATATTATATCAACAGAAAACTAAATGGAAAATGTGATTCATTTCCTTTACTCAATTCAACTCACCCTTTTGCAGTTGTGTTAAGCGACGAATTTATATTAAGTTCAAATTGATTCCATCCATATTCCATCAGACTTGGTTCTTAAATTTCTTAACAGCCTCGGTCAACTTTTTTACGTGGCACTTTTCTGCCATGGCCAATAATTGATCAGCATTTTCGGCATTTATATCAGGAATGCGTTGGTTTAGCTTTTCATGACGCAAGATTTGTTTTGAAAGATCCGAAGACAAATTTTCCCATGATTCGTTCCCGTCTAGTTCGAAATAATGACTAAAAAATGATACGAATGAATAGTTTTGCAATATTCAAATAGAACATATGTATAAATCATTTCAAATTTACTTCAATATGTAATCAATTGATGCGGACTTCAATAGCTTTGCGTTCGTGATGTGTTCAGTCAAAATCAGGCAATCGATGACGTTACCAGTTTCTATACGATCCACCATAAATTTCTGTGCTTTTTTGAAAAGACCATCGACGTGGTACTAGAATAAGAAATTGATAAAATTACTACGTTATTCCGTTTTTTACGATTATTTTGATTCAAATTTCCATACCTCATCTGATATTTTGAGCAAATCCTCGACATTTTCGGTCGAAATATTCACTTTCAATGAGTACATGTATTTAACCATTTCATAAACAATTGCATATTCATATTCCGAAATATTGATTTGATCACACTCGTCTTCTCGAAATTTTTTCTGGCTACCAAATTTTTGCTTGAAATATGGGAAATCGGTTAAATACACTTTGTGAGTACGTATTGTTTTGTCTCCAACGATGATTTTGCTGTCAGATTCATCTCCAGTTTCTAGCCTTTTCATCCGATTTTCCCAACAATCTCTTCTAAATCGTTTTTCTTCGGGGGACAGAGAATCTTCTGATGAGGGATAGTTGTATACAATTCGTCGTCGTGACATTATATTTAAGAAACACCAATTGATCGAAAAGAGTTTTTTTTTTTAAATAAACTATTTGCATCTAAATTTTTTTTTACCATAAAATGACATTTATGGTTGTGTCGCATCAGTGTGAAGTTATCCACTCTGTTTGCTAACAGAATATTTCAAAATCTATATTTCGGTTAAACCTTTGAAAATTTTGATACAAATTGGAGTGAATTTCATTCATTCGATCGAAAATCTAAACAGCAATTTATATACAATCATCACATCATATTCACATGATCCTCTCGTTTTGAATAAATTCTTCATTCGAATAAATTCTTCATTCGAAACCTCTCTAAATCATGTTCCATTGAATCATTTTGATATCATTTGAATGGAGTATCGAACGCCATCTCTTGAGAGGTATGCGAACGAATTAATTATTGTATTTCAATTGTTTTTTTTGTTTTGATACTAAAAGACTTACGTATGGCCACCGAGATCTTGATTTTCTCTTCATTGTCAGTTATCCGAGAAATTAAATTCATTGGAATTTCAAGAAGTTATAATAAAAATTTCATCAAACCCATGTTTTACAAATGAAAACTATTCAAATTTAATGGACAAACACTTTTTCATTGCCTACTATTTTTATAATAGATAAAATTAAAAGGTCATGGAATGTTGATAACAAATGTAATGTCAAGTTCAAAACAAATATGAAACGACCGGGAGTTCGTTTTTTGGAAGAGGAAAGTTAACACGACAAATTCACTAATTAAAATGTCAATAACAATTTCTTGTTTCTGTGGTTGTCTAAATTTTAATTTAAGAAATTCAATTTAATCGAATTCGATATGCATTTTCATTATTTCGATATGCTTTAATCGATATGCATCTTTAGAAATTTCAATTTGAAAAATTGAATTTAATCGAATTGCACAATCGATATACATTTATAGAAATTAGACATGGAAAATGTATAATGTATAAATAGCATTGTAAACACGAGCACTTCCTCTTTTTCTGTTCAAATAAAGCACATAGTGCACGTTAATTGAAAAATTGCAAATTTTTATTTCAACGAGACATAACGTCTCTTAACTCGCGCGTTCCAATTATATATTCAAGTTGCATATCCGTTGGCATAGATTTATTTATTCGCATTTCAATTTCCGAGATTTCATGAACTGGATTTTGCCATTTCAGTGTTCTCGTTGGGTTTTTGTCACGATATTCTTGTTATATGCTTTATTTTTCATTCTCTTTTTCTATATGGGGCAATTTTCACTAG